TTTTTAACAGCCACTAGTTAATTGTAGCATATCTGCAATAACCGGAGACTGTGAAACATGTGCAGAGGATGAAAACCCACATCAGGTTGGTTTGGAGACTGACCAGTCGGATCACGTCCATGCTCGGCTATGCCCGGCAAAGTGAAACAAGGTCTGTTTGATCCGGTAATGTCCGTTTTTGTACCTATTCACGCTCATGTGAAGTGCATTTGGCGCCCCTTTGATTATCTATACTTTTAATATTGAAATTGTCTCAGCCGACTCCGTTTGTGATGTCAGAGCTTGATATCTCAATTAGCTAACTCATCAAACTTTCAATCCACTGCTTATTGTGCATCGGCTTTTTGTCTGGATAGCGACTGCATACAAATTTTAATGATACTAAGCAAAGCCATGTTTTCAGATTTACTTTAAATACTCAGGTGGAATTCTCAAGAGATAGCTTGAGTAGGAAAGACCCCAACAGAACTAATTCATAAACCGCACACATCAACAAACCCTTCATATTGGAAGTACAGGAGATACTTAGTTGACTACCACTCTACCGTCACATCACATCTCTCACAAGATTCAGGACGGGAAACAAACCTGGTGTCCTGGATCTGGTATTCACCAATGAAGAGCTTATGATCGAAACGGTAATCATAGGGAGTCCTTTAGGCTGTAGCGACTATGCAAACCTTATGTTCAAGTACATCGGTTATGCAGAGTATTCCTCAGAAAACACAGAGGAGTGTCAGCTCATTACGGATTACGGCGCTTTAATCAATCTTATAAATGCTGCAAACTGGGCCTTTCTCGCAGAAGGATCCCCGATGTCGCTTGGTCTGATTTCGCTAACCAATTCAACACGTTAGTAACTAGTGCTTCTAGAAAAAGGTATTCATGAGCGAAGGTAGTAAAATCATTCATACGCACTAGGACAAGGAAGTATATGGTCACAAGGAATTTACTCTGGCGAATATACAATGAGTCACCGAGTGCCGAAATATGGGAAGCCTACACTATCCAAAGGAATCACTGCGTAAACCTGGTACGTGAACATAAAATACAGCACCAAATGAATCTAGCTGGGAAATTCCTTTCCAACCACAAGGTCCTAAACAGACAAGTAAACCAGCTCCGCAAAGTGCAGCGAGGAATTCCTGCCTTACATACGTTGTTTTGACTCGCACAAAACGTAACCAAGGCGGCCAATACCCTAAGTCAACAAATCGCCCCGAACTTCCAGAGCACGACAATGACGCATACACGGTTCGCGATCGTTGTATCACCAGCAGGGCTTAGCCACATTAGTTTACGACTGCAGATGTTATGAAGATGCTAATTTCCCTGCACGGGCATATCTATCCCGGCGTTGATGATATTCGTCCAAAGGCGCTGAAACTCATTGCAGTAGACCTGGCGTACCGACTCTGCAGTTTCTTCCAACGATGCCTAGATGAGATGCGGGTGCCAACAATGTGGAAGCAGGGCGTCGTCACTCCCATCCATAAGAGGGAAGTCGTACAGATCCGGCCAACTATCGCCTGATAATACTACTTTCGGTGTCCTCCAAAATCATGGGGGCGATTGTTGTCAAAGCGCTCATGAACTACTTGCAAGAGCGCAATAGCAAAGCACAAGAACAATATGGATTTCGCAAGAACCGAGCTTACATTTCAAACTTGCTACTTGCTAGACCATTGCACTGAGACCGTTGACAGCGGCGTATGTTTTGACGCATTATATCTGGACTTCTCAAAGGCTTTTGAGCGTCAGAAGCACCGTATCCTCCTTCACAAGCCTCAGTGTTGTGGAATTGGTAACGCAATCCTCGGTTGGATAGGTAACTTCTTGCTTCAACGACATCTGAATGTAAGAGTACGTGGCATCATCTCTGACCCAATCGACGCTAAGTGCGGAGTGCCCCAGGGCTTAGCATTTGGTCCACGACTATTCCTGATTTACACAAACGATCGCGAGACAGTAATCATCTCAAAACTCCTAATCTTCGCTGATGATCTCAAGATATGGCTAGCCATCAGAATAACCAGCGACAATGCGACAGCTTAGGATGTTCTTGAGAGGTTCTAAGAATGGTCGACTCAGAACGTGCTTCAGCTTAACGCTACGAAGTGCGAGGAGTTGAGTAGACGGCATAAAGCCACTTGCGAATATACATACTGGGGATCTATTATTGCAGCGCACTTCAATGGAATGCGATCTAGGCGTGATAGTGCAGAAAGATCTGTGCTTTTCCCGTCAGGCAGAGAAAGCCTCCAAAAATCTCACCAACACCTTTGCTTTTTGCGGAGGGCATTCGGACGCTTCGATCTTTCCATCTATTCTTAGATGCTGAACACTTAATTTCGTCCTCATTCTGAGTACGCCATCCACGCCTGGCAGCCGTGTCAAAAGTAACACCTCACTGCTCCTGAACTGCCCCAACGAAGGGCGACCAATAACGTGAAGGGTCTGTTTCACCTCCTTTACCCTTTGAGTCTGAAGACACTCGGGGTCTAAAGTGGACAATAGCGACGCCTGCGTGACGACTTGCTAGAAACGCATATGGTCCTGAGGAATCCAAGCCATTCTTGGAGTCACCTACTAAAGCTGAATCGTAATACCACACTCAGATAACACCAGCTAAAGCTGGCCACACAATACAGCCGCTTGGAATGCCGCGGGAATTTCTTTTCCCTTCCTATGTGCCAACACTGAAACGCTCTTCCCAAATACGTTGTTTCTTGACACACGCTAACGGTATTCAAAAGACATCTGGATGATTCGCTTATCCACTTACATTACGCTATGTAATTAGTGATGTCTACGTCAAGCAAACGCGAACCAACGGGACTCATCCTCAGTTTTTATGTTTCACCACTTACACACTGGTGCTGTGGAACATAGTTTCGGATATATTACAACTACATTCATCAATTACTTCAGTCCAAGAAAGTGGCGCACGTGTAAGTGTTATCGCTTCTTTTGTTCTTAAGACATACCTTCCCCGTGTTACTTCCCCATATTACTCTACGGTAACAATTCAATGCACATTCGTAATTGTTATATAAAGTAGGGGCATCTGCATCGCTAGACGCTGAGATTGACGATTTACACTTGTGTTTGCTTTCACTTCAACCATCCTACGGGACTTGTAAAGCAATCGCTTTTTTACCTGTAGTATATACGATTGTTCACTGTTCATTTGCCGAGATTGTCAGCGAATTAGTTTGCATCAAGCAGCCGCTGCATCAGCATTTTCGTTGCAATTGATTGAGCGGATTCCTTTTGGTATATTGGTTGGCTATGATACCATTTTTGATTTCTTTTAACTAAAAAGGTGTCTACCTCTCAAACACGGGGTTAAACTAACATTTGGAGCGGACACTTGTTAAAGGTACTTAAATAACCCCAGGATGAGTGTTCATTCAAAGGAGGGAAACGACTGGTAATACGTGTCAGCAAAGTAGTACAAGGGGAATATTTTTTTATAATATCAGATTTGTGTCAGATTTTACCTGCATGCAACATTGCGCCTTGCAAGTGGTATCATATTTTATCTGCCTATCAAGTAGAGATCTCAGAAGCAATAATATCTCAGAATATTCGTATGTCAACCTTCTCCTTTACCATCAGAACAACCAGTCAATGCCAGGGTTTGTCTTATTGGTGAAGATTCTTTGGTTGTAATTTTAAAGAACAAGTTGTACGGATGGTCCGCGATGTGAAATCTCAATGAGTATCACGGATCACTTTGAAGTGAAATTGGTCATTTTGACCATATCGGGGGCAAGTAAACATTGAATTTTTCCAAGTCCACGGTCAGTTTCTTCCGCGTTTGCAAGCATCAGCTCTATATAGAAGAGCTGTGACTCGACAGTGGGACCTTGGGAACCTCAGCCAATACCTGAGACTGTGTACGGGATCAGCACGTCTGTACGAAGCTTATTTCAAGTTTACGAGGATTGCCGTACAAAGATCGGTGAGAGAAACTAGTCGTCTACACATTGTCCAGTTGTCAGTTACGAGTTTGTCTAATCGTAAGCTACCTCATATTACAGCCTAGTAAAGTCCACATGTTAAGGCTGCTGTTTCATTTGCGAACAGTATTCAGCACATGCGGACCTATGTACATGCTTGTGCCGAGAGATGAAAAACGAATCATCCGATCAATGTGATTTAAACAGAGAGTGGAAAAGGTGTGGAAAAATTTCCCGGCAAAACGTGGATACCAAATATGCACAGTAGTTCAAAAATTCGTTCGGCATACATTTCACCAAATTTCCGTTTAGGGAACGATCGCACATTGTTAATGATCTAATTACTTTGTGAGACAAATGAATCCGTAAGGCAGGCATATATAAATGTAGATTAAAAATTAAAGAACTATCAGAATATCAAAAAAGGCACATGCTTTTGTGATATTTTGGATATAAATTAATGAAGTAGCAAAAACTTACATATTAACTTGCCCCAACATTAAATTTCCAGCAGCATATGCAATGCTCAGATAAATATTGAGGATTTCCAGCTGGAAATAATGCCTACAAGAATATGTTAGTAAACTCAGCAAGCTCTACGGATCGTCAGATGGAAGAAGGCCGATTAGCGTTCTTTTACCTACCGTTGCTCCCTTATGGTGAGCGCCGGTCATTTACCGTTGTTATCACTAACATCCAATAGACATCCAATGTTTAGCGAAATTCGCAACATGCTACTGCGCTGCAGAGACATGAATTTCTCTCTCACCTTAGTGGTGCGGACGTATGGAATTCTCGTCAGACGAGTGATTTAGTGGAGGGCTCAGCTGAGAAAAAGCCTAATCTCTAAAGCCACACTGGCATGAGGCTGTTGATCAGCGAGTGAGCCACAACATGCTTCCGGCTATCAGCTAACTTCGCGCTGAGTGAAGGTCATGGCCAACCGTAGGCGTTGGAGAGATCGGTGTGTGTCGCGGTGGCTACGCGGCCAAGTCGGCTTAGGCAACCGAAAATCAACGTGTATGTGCGCACGTGATGGCAGCTCAGCTGAGGACGAGGTTAGACAATGCAACTCTTGTCAATGTTAATGAATCACAGGTAATGGAGCACGAGCAGACAATGCAGTCGGGATCACGTAACGTTCCCGTTACTCAGCGCGCGCTGATTATTCGGCTATACGGTGAATGCGGTTTAAATGCCGCATCAGCTTCAAGAAAATACAATGCAATGAACGCAGGAATGCGTCCCGTCACCGCTCGGCACCTGCTTAAACTATTAAAGAAGTTCGAGCAAACTAGGAGTGTGTGTGACATGAAGAGAACCGGACCGCTTCGCGTCACCACGGACGACTGTTCAGTTTGCGTTGTAGTCAGTGAATTGTCAAAAAGTCCAAATCTCAGCATTCGTCGGATCGCACAGCACGGTGACACGACTCGATATGCCGTAAACCGGATATTACTGGAACGAAAATTTCGGAGATTCCGTGCACTTCAACTGCAGGTTCTGAACCCATGCGATGCGGAGAAGCGGCATGTATGTTGCCGCTGGTTTCTGGATCATGGGGATATTCGTTCTGGTATCTATACAGATGAGGCATTGTTTCATCTGCATGGAGCAGTGAAACATTACTGTTGGGCTACCAGCGACCCACGAAAATTTACCGCATCACGTATGAACCACAGTGTGAAACTGATGGTTTGGGCCGGATTAACAAGCCAGAAAATCTTGGGCTCATATTTCTTTTCCGGGAATGTGACCGGTGGGTTGTGGTTTTGAAATACTAAAGCCTTATATTTTCCTAGCATCGTCGTATTTTGAAATGCTGCTTCCCCAGTTGGAGGCTGAAGGGGCATGCGGTACTATTTGGTAACAGCAGGATGGTGCACCAGCATATTCTGCTAAAACGATGCATGCTTACCTCATCGACAAATTTGGCCATCATTGGTTCGGACGCGGTGGACTAATGGAGTGGCCTGCTCGCTCACCAGATTTGAACCCCATGGACTTATTTCTATGAGGTTGTCTAAAGCAACGAGTGTACAAAACAAGGCCGCGTACATTGGATCAATTGAAAGAAAATATTGTGAACGAATGTCGCACGATCACGAGGGATACCTTGGAGAAAGTGCTCGCCAATTGCATCAAGCGGTTTCTGCACTGTAAGCAGAATGCCGGCGGACATTTTGAACATATCCTTCACTAGTATAGGTGATCCTACCAATACATTTCTGTTAATGTACTTTTTCTTTTCCCAAATGTGTTAACGTCTAAACTGGTCCACTGGCAAATGGTGCTAATGATGCGTCCGGTTGAATAGAATTTTTAACGTCCAGGCTGTCGTTGAGCACATAAAAAGCGTATGCACCGAAACGTTTGATGGCTACTTATGGCGAAATCAGTGAGTCGCTATGTGCTGAGGTACGTCCAGCCTTAATGAAAAGCCGACTGTGTTGTTGACTCAGTTTCAGGCTATTACCTATAAAGTTGGTGTTCGGGATGAGTTGCAGTAGGTGGCAACATGTGTACGTGGGGTCGTCCTGTATCTGGTAGACAAATATGAGGTCTCCACATAGCCACCTGTAGTGCCACTGAACACTCGGAGTGTATTTAGTCGCTGCTCGACCAGAGTGAGTTTCAAGCGCTTCAAGGTCACGGTTTAGCCAAGCGTGCCAAGCCTGGATTACGTATTCGACGTGTTAACGCACGTGGGCTTGGAGCATCATAGAGAAGATGAATGGATCCAAACTTTCGAATGCCATCCGCAAGCTAACAACTTGCTGGTTACCACTTTGGATTCCGACTGTTTGGAATAACCGAAGTCGTCCTGCACCAGCACACCGAGGTCAAGTTCCTGTGGGCTTGTCTACAGGTCAAGTGCCCCAATTTTCTAGATAGGCGTGTTTTTTTCCTTTGTCGACAATGTATCATTTGACCACGTTTAAGGACAGTGAGTTCCTCACCGGTCAATTCCAGGTCCCATCTAGGTCGCACATGGAGATCTTGTGGTCCTTCATTCTCGATCACCGGCCAACTTTTAACGTCATCCAGAAAATAACATTTTTGAGGTTATGGCTCTCGCAAAATCGTCGCACTCCACTCGATTAGGGTCGGGTAGAGATGTTCGGTCTCTAACATAGAACTGCTGTTCACGGAGAAAGTTCCCAATCCATCCTAATAATGCATTGCCTACGTTTTCCAAGTAGCCCATCATTACGTCAGCGATGATGGCTTCCATGATTTTGGAAAGCGCAGAGAGAAGTGTTACCGGACGGTACTTGGTAGGATCAGACGGACTTCTCTGAAAGAATCCGGCAAGTGGCTGGGCTAGATAGATGGCTGCTGCCTGCAGTGCTTTAGAGTGAAGGTTATCCAAGGATGGTAGCTTTTTCAGAACCACTTTTGCTATGAATTCGATGCTGGATAACACTGATGGTGCTGGGACAGAAGCAAATATAAGGTTTGAGGCTAATACGCGTTGGAACGTAGGCCAGTACTGGGCAATGAGAGGTTGCCCGCCTTTTTTGTTGTGTGTGTATACCCACCAATCGTACTTAGTGGTGCGATTCCACTCTGCAACATTCGAAGAACATTCATTTGTCTGCAAATAAGGCTGTCGTTCGAACGGAATTGTTTCCTTAGCTCCAGTCGGGGAGATAACTTGTTTTCACGAACCAACTGTACATGTTAATTGCTCATTGCAACGTACGCTGTCTCATTCTCCGCATCAGGATTACTTATGTGAAGGCGCCATATGTTCCCCCAACGCCACAACTCTTCATATTTGGCTGGTTTCATGTGAAACCAGCATTATTATTCACAACAGCCAAATATGAAGATTTGTGGCGTTGGGGGAACATATGGCGCCTTCACATAAGTAATCCTGATGCGGAGAATGAGACAGCGTACGTTGCAATGAGCAATTAACATGTACAGTTGGTTCGTGAAAACAAGTTATCTCCCCGACTGGAGCTAAGTAAACAATTCCGTTCGAACGACAGCCTTATTTGCAGACAAATGAATGTTCTTCGAATGTTGCAGAGTGGAATCGCACCACTAAGTACGATTGGTGGGTATACACACACAACAAAAAAGGCGGGCAACCTCTCATTGGCCAGTACTGGCCTACGTTCCAACGCGTATTAGCCTCAAACCTTATATTTGCTTCTGCCCCAGCACCATCAGTGTTATCCAGCATCGAATTCATAGCAAAAGTGGTTCTGAAAAAGCTACCATCCTTGGATAACCTTCACTCTAAAGCACTGCAGGCAGCAGTCATTTATCTAGCCCAGCCACTTGCCGGATTCTTTCAGAGAAGTCCGTCTGATCCTACCAAGTACCGTCCGGTAACACTTCTCTCTGCGCTTTCCAAAATCATGGAGGCCATCATCGCTGACGTAATGATGGGCTACTTGGAAAACGTAGGCAATGCATTATTAGGATGGATTGGGAACTTTCTCCGTGAACAGCAGTTCTATGTTAGAGACCGAACATCTCTACCCGACCCTAATCGAGTGGAGTGCGACGATTTTGCGAGAGCCATAACCTCAAAAATGTTATTTTCTGGATGACGTTAAAAGTTGGCCGGTGATCGAGAATGAAGGACCACAAGATCTCCATGTGCGACCTAGATGGGACCTGGAATTGACCGGTGAGGAACTCACTGTCCTTAAACGTGGTCAAATGATACATTGTCGACAAAGGAAAGAAACACGCCTATCTAGAAAATTGGGGCACTTGACCTGTAGACAAGCCCTCAGGAACTTGACCTCGGTGTGCTGGTGCAGGACGACTTCGGTTATTCCAAACAGTCGGAATCCAAAGTGGTAACCAGCAAGTTGTTAGCTTGCGGATGGCATTCGAAAGTTTGGATCCATTCATCTTCTCTATGATGCTCCAAGCCCACGTGCGTTAACACGTCGAATACGTAATCCAGGCTTGGCACGCTTGGCTAAACCGTGACCTTGAAGCGCTTGAAACTCACCCTGGTCGAGCAGCGACTAAATACACTCCGAGTGTTCAGTGGACACTACAGGTGGCTATGTGGAGACCTCATATTAGTCTACCAGATACAGGACGACCCCACGTACACATGTTGCCACCTACTGCAACTCATCCCGAACACCAACTTTATAGGCAATAGCCTGAAACTGAGTCAACAACACAGTCGGCTTTTCATTAAGGCTGGACGTACCTCAGCACATAGCGACTCACTGATTTCGCCATAAGTAGCCATCAAACGTTTCGGTGCATACGCTTTTTATGTGCTCAACGACAGCCTGGACGTTAAAAATTCTATTCAACCGGACGCATCATTAGCACCATTTGCCAGTGGACCAGTTTAGACGTTAACACATTTGGGAAAAGAAAAAGTACATTAACAGAAATGTATTGGTAGGATCACCTATACTAGTGAAGGATATGTTCAAAATGTCCGCCGGCATTCTGCTTACAGTGCAGAAACCGCTTGATGCAATTGGCGAGCACTTTCTCCAAGGTATCCCTCGTGATCGTGCGACATTCGTTCACAATATTTTCTTTCAATTGATCCAATGTACGCGGCCTTGTTTTGTACACTCGTTGCTTTAGACAACCTCATAGAAATAAGTCCATGGGGTTCAAATCTGGTGAGCGAGCAGGCCACTCCATTAGTCCACCGCGTCCGAACCAATGATGGCCAAATTTGTCGATGAGGTAAGCATGCATCGTTTTAGCAGAATATGCTGGTGCACCATCCTGCTGTTACCAAATAGTACCGCATGCCCCTTCAGCCTCCAACTGGGGAAGCAGCATTTCAAAATAGGACGATGCTAGGAAAATATAAGGCTTTAGTATTTCAAAACCACAACCCACCGGTCACATTCCCGGAAAAGAAATATGAGCCCAAGATTTTCTGGCTTGTTAATCCGGCCCAAACCATCAGTTTCACACTGTGGTTCATACGTGATGCGGTAAATTTTCGTGGGTCGCTGGTAGCCCAACAGTAATGTTTCACTGCTCCATGCAGATGAAACAATGCCTCATCTGTATAGATACCAGAACGAATATCCCCATGATCAAGAAACCAGCGGCAACATACATGCCGCTTCTCCGCATCGCATGGGCTCAGAACCTGCTCTTGAAATGTACGGAACCTCCGAAATTTTCGTTCCAGTAATATCCGGTTTACCACATATCGGGTCGTGTCACAGTGCTGTGCGATCCGACGAATGCTGAGATCGGGACTTTTTGACAATTCACTGACTACAGCGCAAACTGAACAGTCGTCCGTGGTGAGGCGAGGCCGTCCGGTTCTCTTCATGTCACACACACTCCCAGTTTGCTCGAACTTCTTCAATAGTTTAAGCAAGTACCGAGCGGTGACGGGACGCATTCCTGCGTTCATTGCATTGCATTTTCTTGAAGCTGATGTGACATTTAAACCGCATTCACCGTATAGCCGAATAATCAGCGCGCGCTGAGTAACGGGAACGTTACGTGATCCCGACTGCATTGTCTTCTCGTGCTCCATTACCTGTGATTCATTAACATTGACAAGAGTTGCATTGTCTAACCTCGTCCTCAGCTGAGCTGCCATCACGTGCGCACATACACGTTGATTTTCGGTTGCCTAAGCCGACTTGGCCGCGTAGCCACCGCGACACACACCGATCTCTCCAACGCCTACGGTTGGCCATGACCTTCACTCAGCGCGAAGTTAGCTGATAGCCGGAAGCATGTTGTGGCTCACTCGCTGGTCAACAGCCTCATGCCAGTGTGGCTTTAGAGATTAGGCTTTT